CCATCTGCTCCGACCCTTACCAGTTCGAAACATATCCCTATCCCTGTGTTTGGCATCACCTCACCTCGATGTCGGTCTTAAGGATTCCCTCAGTTTCTGAGGGCACATCCCTAAGACTGTCCTCGCTTCTTGCTCGCCCATCCTGGGGATAGGGATAGGTTCTGGGCTGGTTAGACCCCATCTGGGAGGCCTGGGAGTACTGTATCGAATATGATGGGCCTGTTTCCACCGCCACCACCAGAAGTTGGAGGGGGAGGAGGTCCTCCTCCTCCTCCTCCTCCTCCTCCCCACCATCCAACTTGTGGTGGTGCTGGTGGAAAACAGGCCCCTCAGAGTCGGATCCGTCGGATCGAACCGGGTCCTGCCTGCACCTGTCCCGGTCCTGCCTGCACCGCAGCGGCCACGGAGACCACGTGTCTTCAAGTGCCGAGGCCATCCAGAGCGGCCTGCCGGGCCGCGGCCGGCCCGGCCACAGTCCTCCAGAGAGGGTGTAAGGCCAGCCACAACCACAATAATTCGGAGAGGAGGAGAGGGGGAGGAGGAGAGAACAGTGAAGGAAGGCGGAAGGAGGAGGAGGGGGATACGGGAGGAGGAATGAGGAGGAAGGGGGAGGAGAGAAGGCGGGGAGAGGAAGGAGAGGAGGAGCAAGTAGAAGGATGAGGAGTAGGAGGAGGAGGTATGAGGAGGATGAGGAGTAGGAGAGGGAGGAGTAGGAGGAGGAGGGGATAGGGAGGAGGAGGAGGAGGAGAATTTTCACACGAAATATAAAAACTGAGGACAATCCTGGAATGTGTGTCGATGTATGTTGGGTACCTTTGCCCCGCTGGTCCTGACGGTGGCCTTGATGGCAGCGGCGTCGCCCGCCACCTGCACGGCCACGTCGGCCACCCTCGCGGACGCCTCCTTGGCCACAGCGTGCCTCAGGGCGTCCTGCTGGGGGAGCAGGACATTAACCAGGAACCCAGATCTCCAGCGTTATTGACACCATTCAGTACCGAGGCTTTTTCTGGCTTCCGGCATCTGGGGGCCCTCGCCAGGCCTCGGGACTGTCAACCAACGACTCTTGGGATGAAAAAAACACCCGAAAGAAAAAGGTTGGGACCATCGGAGACTCCAGATTGGAAAATCAAAAATATCGGATGTCTGGGGAGAGGTGTTTGAAGGGACCCTGGGACACACAAATAAGTAGAAACAAATCCCAGGATTCCCCCCTGCTTTGGAAAATGTTCTGGGTGTCCGTCTCCCCCCGCCCTTTCCATACGTTTCCATATTTTCCTGGGGGTCGAGGATCAATTATGTCTGTGTGTTTTCACCTCCTCGGTGATAATAACCCCAAGCTGATCCCTATCCCTAGGAATGGTAAGTCTGATGGAGATGACAATCTCAGGGATGCGCCCTCAGAAACTGAGGGAATCATTATAAGAACGTCCTCGGGATGAGGTGGTGCCAATCACAAGGATAGAGGGCATGATCTAGGCTGATAGAGACGCATACCGACACCAGGACTCTCCAAACCCCCACGAGTGTGTTCTGGCTGGCATCCCGAAGCTAGAAGCTAGAAGAAAGGGAAGTACTGCATGAACGAAAAATGTTGGAGCTCCGCTGGGATTTCTTGGATCAGAGCCAGGCCCTCCTCCCTGACGCGCTGCGCGCGCCAGGAGCGGCGCCCGAGGCGCCGCCAGACGGGCTCAGCGACCAGCGACGATTCAAGAAATCCGCGCGGAACTCCAAGCAATATGTTTACACCGTGTTCTCCCCATAAATGCGGCACCTTCCGGGGAGGCGGGGCGCGCGCGGGCCCTCCTCACCGCAGTCGCAATCGCAGCTGCAGAGCAGGTAACGGTGGCGGGGCCCAAGCATCCTTGTAGCGGCGGCGGCAGCAGCGGCGGAAATGGTACATATCAGCGTTCCACACTACGAGCTGACGGCGTCAGCCCAGAGGTGTTTAAGATCTTATAATAAGAACCTGGATCTTATATGCTGTCATCATATGATGTTATAACCATATTAGTACTACAAAATGTAAGCATAGTATAATTTTTACACCGCGATCACAAGTTGCAAGGGCGTCTCCAGCGAAACGAAAGAAAAGGAGGAAGGAAAGAAGGACAAGGAGGGGGGAGGGAGGAGGGGAGAGGGGCGGAAGGAGGAGAAGGAGGAGGACGACGACGACGACGACGATCTCTGCTGTCCGCTGCGGCAACGGGGGCCCGAGACTCGCGTGGCGGGGCCCCGCGGCGGTCCGCAAACCTATTCGTATTATTCGAGTCAACTTGATACGTGTTGTCGGTATTTTCTGCTTAACTCGAGGTCTAGGGCAGCTACAGTGCTGGTAAGCACAGCTATCGCACTCAGAATCATCAGGCGCGTTCGCCTGTTCAATCCAGAGGTCTGAACTCGGTCTGCTATCCGAGCTCGGTCCGCAAACCTATTCGTATTATTCGAGTCATCTTGACAGACGCTCTCGGTTTTCTGTACTTAACTCGAGCTGTAGGGCAGCTAGAGGGCTCATTGTCACAGACATCGATGGTGAATCATCAGTCGCGTTCGTCTACTGAACCGAGAGCTCTGAACTCGGCCTGCTGCCCGAGCTAGATTTGCGAAACTATTCGTATTGTTGAATGATCTTGAGAAGTGCTCTCTGTCTTCTGCACTTAACTCGTGTTTGGGCCGGCTACAGTGCTGCGGGTCACATATATCGATTTGCACACATCAGGCGTGTTTGTCGATCGATTCCAGAGCTCGGAACTCGGTCTGCTGCTCGAACTTGATCGGGAAAACTATTCTATTATTCGAGTCGATACTGTCGGTTTTCTGCACTTAACTCGGGCTGTAGGGGGGCTGCACGGCTGGGAATCACATGAGTGGATTGGCAGACATCAGACGCGGCCGCCCAGTACTGGTACCTCCCCGCGTGGCGGGGGAGGTACCCCGTAGATCATTGGTACGATGGTACCGCGCATCGCCGATGGTTTACCCCCAAGGCCTCGGACAAGCGATCTCCTGATTTGGCTGGGGACTCGGGCAGGTTGCCCTTATATAATATATACATACATAAACCTTACCAAGACAAAACATCTAGGTACATATGTGTTGGCCGACGTGGAGTTGGTGGAGCGCGTCATGCGCCGGGCGCTGAGGCAAAACCCGACTCCTCTTCTGCCCTAGCGAACCGCCGTCCAATCTGCCCAAATCGGGCTTTCCAAGCGCAGGCCCAGGAAAAACAAAAACCCGTTCTCAAGGCCAAGACTTGTCTTCGCAGGTGGCCGGCGCACGCGCCAATTGGCCCCTTCGGACGTCGCATTTGGGAACAGCGTTGCCTTGAGAATCATTGTTTGGGATTCCGACGCGCCTCTGTGGCCGCCTATGCATTAGGAGCGTCGCGGGCGAAACCCGGCGCGCTGCCCTAGCAAACCGCCGCGCCATTTGCCTAAAGCAAGCTTTCAAGGCACCGGCACTGGAAATACAGCAACCCGTTCTCACGGCCAAGACTTGTCTTCGCAGGTGGCCGGCGCGCGCGCGGACCAGGCCCTTCGGAGCTCGCTATTCTGACCGCCCTTGGGGAAATGCGCGAAACGCAAAACGGCGCATAAGAAAACGGCGAAGAGAAACGATAAAAGGTTACCTTGAGAACGCTGCTCTCTCCGCCCTACGGGGAATGCGCGAAACACAGAGACGGGCGCATAAGAGTACAGCGTAGAAAGACAACGAAGTTTGCCTGGAGAACTGGTTTTCGCGATTCCCACGAGTCTCTGTGGCGCTCTCGCGCTGGCGCCGATTTATACGGGCGGGGACAGGGGGCGGGAGGGTGCGTAGCAGGGTTCGCTGAGGCATCCTGGGTTCTCTCCTCTTCCCTCTTCCTCCTCTTACTCCTCCTCCTCTTCGTCCTCCTCCTCCTCCGGGCGCGCGAAGCGTCGAGCATTGGGGGCACTTGCGCAGGTGGCAGCTCCGACGGGGCCCACGAAAGTGTCGACAACTGCGTCGTCGGCACCTTCCGGGGAGGCGGGGCGCGCGCGGGCCCTCCTCACCGCAGTCGCAATCGCAGCTGCAGAGCAGGTAACGGTGGCGGGGCCCAAGCATCCTTGTAGCGGCGGCGGCAGCAGCGGCGGAAATGGTACATATCAGCGTTCCACACTACGAGCTGACGGCGTCAGCCCAGAGGTGCTTAAGATCTTATGATAAGAACCTGGATCTTATATGCTATCATCATATGATGTTATAACTATATTAGTACTACAAAATGTAAGCATAGTATAATTTTTACACCGCGATCACAAGTTGCAAGGGCGTCTCCAGCGAAACGAAAGAAAAGGAGGAAGGAAAGAAGGACAAGGAGGGGGGAGGGAGGAGGGGAGAGGGGCGGAAGGAGGAGAAGGAGGAGGACGACGACGACGACGACGATCTCTGCTGTCCGCTGCGGCAACGGGGGCCCGAGACTCGCGTGGCGGGGCCCCGCGGCGGCGACCGGGCGCCGATCGCGCAGGCGGGCGTGCAGGCGCCCGACCTCCTCTTCCCCTCGTCGTCGTCGTCGTCGTCGTCGTCGTCGTCGTCGTCGTCGTCGTCGTCGTCGTCCTCCTCCTCCTCCTCCTCCTCCTCCTCCTCCTCCTCCTCCCACCCTCCTCCTCCTCGACTCCTCCTCTCCCATCCTTCGCCTCGACCTCCTCCTCCCCTTCCTCGAGATCCCCCTCCTCCTTGACCCCCTTTCCTAAACTCGACACCCTCCTGCTTTCCTATAACTCCTCCTCGACCTCGCCCTCTCCTCTTCCTAGCTGTTCTCCTCCTCCTCGAGGTCCTCCTCCTCGACCTCCTGTCCTCTCCTCCCACCCTCCTCCTCGACTTTCCCCCTCCGCCTCCTCCTCCTTCTCCTCCTCCTCCTCCGCCTCCCCCTCATGCCCGATCGCCCACCTCGGCGGGAATCTTCCTCCTCCTCCTCGACTTCCTCGTGTTCCCATTCTCCCTCCTCCTCTCTCCTCCCCTCTTTTCCGCCACGGCTCGAGGCCATGGAGTGGTTTGCCCTCCTTCGCCTTCCTGCGGCGCCCCCGCGGCTGCCCGAGCCGCGCTGGGCGCTGGCGCCAGGGATCCTCCCGATCCCCTGTGAGGCCCGCCCGCGCTGGGCACCCCGCGCCGTGGAGGTCGCGGACGGGTGCCTCCCCCAGTACTGGTACCTCCCCGCCGTGGCGGGGAGGTACCCCGAGCATTGGTACCGATGGTACCCGCACATCGCCGATGGTACCCCAAGGCCTCGGAGCAAGCCGATTCTCCTGATTTGGCTGGACTCGGGCAGGTGCCCTTATATATATATATATACATGCATAACCTTACCCAAGACAAAACATATAGGTACCATATGTGTTGGTACGACGTGGAGTTGGTGGAGCGCGTCATGGCGCCGAGGCGCTGAAGGCAAAACCCGACCTCCTCTTCCTCCTCCTCCTTCCCCTTCTCCCTTCTCGGCGTCACCCCCTCGACATCCTCTTCCTCCTCCTCCTCCTCCTCCTCCTCCTCCCCCCTCTACCTCCTCCCCCTCCCCCCTTCCATCTTCGTTTCCTCCTCATCATCCTCCTTCGTCACCGTGTACGATCTTAACAGTTCCACGGCTCTTGGGCGCCACGCCGGCAGCGGCGACGCGGGGGTACGTCCACTTGTACGTTCGCAGGGGCATGGAGGCGGAGCGGCTGTTGTGTGAGGCTTCCTCGGCTGCTGGCGTGGCTGCGCGCGTCAGGGTGGCGCCGGGCCGAGGCGGTGCCGCGGCGGACGAGGTCTGCGTCTTGGCAGTGCATTTGCCTGCCGGGGACGGCGGCGCAGCGCGCTGCCGCGCTGGGAGAGGCGCTGCGGTCGCTGGACGAGAGCGGGGCGGAGCGTGCCAGGGTCTTGGTCGTGGGCGACTGGAACGTGCGGGACGAGGAGGTCGCAGCGCTGTGCGAGGCTGAGGGCATGTGCGATGCCACGTGCGCTGGGAAGACCTGGGGCGTGAGGTGGAACAGGTTTTTCGCAGATCAGCAGTACAGCGGCCCCGGGTTTCGTTTTGACCGCGCGATGTTCGGGGAGAAGTTGTTTGCCCGGGCGCATGTGATGGCGCGAGGGCCTGTCGTGTTCGAAGGCGTGCAGTTTTGCGCGTCCGACCACTTCGGGTTGATGGTGTACGTGGACGTGGCAGACGTCTTTGCGCTGCGAGGCAGGGGGCGCGCGGAGGCAGCCCGGGTGCGGCGCGGGGAGGTGTGTAGGGTCTGTGAGGTCGGCGGGGAGCGAGAGGCGCAGGAGGTCCGGGATCGCCGGCAGGCTGCCAGGGATCAGCAGGGGCTCGACAGGGAGAGGGCCGCGGAGAGGGACCGCGAGGCGTTTGCGAGGGGCCAGCAGAGGGCGGCTCGCGAGAGGGCACGCCGGAGGCAGGCGTTGCACGATGCGGCTTTCGGCAGGGAGTCGCTGTTCGATCAGGACTTCGTCGTCGAGGCGGAGGGGCTGGGCGAGGGTGTTCAGATCTCCGCGCCGTCTGCCATTGTCGTGCCGGGCGCTGAGGAGTGGCAAGACGGTGGATGGGGAGAGGTCGCCGGCGTACCCGTGGTGGGCATGGGGAATTTGGGGAACACGTGCTACGTCAACGGCGTGCTGCAGCTGCTCCTGCGGGTGTCGTCCGTGCACGAGGTCCTTTCGAGACATGGGCGAGACCGGTGCCCCAGGGCGTTGCTTGGAGAGGATTGTGTCGTGTGCTTGTTGCGGGAGACGCTGGGGCAGGTCATGGCGGCGTCGCGCCGCGCAGGGGTGCGGAAGCCGAGGCTCGCGCAGGAGAGGGCGGCGGTGGACGAGCGGTACGGCGATGACCAGCAGTGGGACGCCAGCGAGTTCTTTGGGCATTGGTTCCACAGAGCTCGTCAGGTTCGGAAGTCGGGCGAGGGCTCGGAGACACGTGGCTGCGAAAACATAATCAGGGAAGTTGTATTTTGCTGGAGGGAAATTCGTTTCACTGATTGTATACTTCGTTATGTTTATTTTTTTTTTGTGTGTGTGTTTGTTTATTTGTGTTTTTGCTTTTGTGTCGCTTCTCTCTCGGAGATTGTTTTAGCGGCCACGGGATCGGCAGCCTTTGTTGGGGCTTCGGCAGGTGGAGCTGGATGCCGGTCGGTGCGTGCCGTGGGGCGATGGATGGCTACATGGGCAGGACGGCTTCCAGGTTACGCACTGGGATCGCCTGTTCAGGAGTGTGACAGAAACGCGCTCGCGGTGCCGCTCGTGTGGTCTTTGCCGTGCCAGGTACGGGTCGGCCGAGATGGTGTGCGTGGTCCCGCCCGAGGACAGGAGGGTGTCGTTGACGACCTCCGAGCTGTATCTGCGCGCGTGCGGGCCCGAGGTGCAGGAGGAGGCGGATCGCCTCGAGTGCCCGAGGTGTGAGTCCCGGCAGGTGCACGTGCTGCAATGGCGGGTGCGCGAGCCGCCGACGGTGCTCTTCGTGCGGGTGATGCGTCCCGTGGCGGCGGGGGGCCAGGGCGTATTGCTGCGCCGGCGCGTGGACGTGGAGGAGGAGATCCAGCTGCCGGGGTTTCCGCGCATGGTGCTGGCGGGGGTGCTTTTTCACAACGGGGCCACGGTGCGTTCTGGGCACTACACGTCCATGTGCCGCGGGCCGGGCGGTATGTTTTGGATGTACGATGACGCGAAGGTTCAGGCGGTGCAGGGCGAGGTGGGGGAGCAGAAGCCGGCGCAGGTGCACCTCATGGTGTATGTAAACCCGCGCGGCGGGGCGGTGTGGGAGGGGCTCGCGCGGGGCGGTGCGGCTCGCGCAGGGGCGGCTCTGGATGGCGGGCATGCAGGCATGCATGCAGTCGCATGCGGCTTATGAGTGCTGTGTGCGGGCGTGAGCGGCCTGCTCCTTGCCGACGGGCTTGAACGGGTGGACGGAGTAGGCGCTGCTGGAGGCGCGCGCTGGCATTGCCCCGGGGCGCGCTCGCACGCTGGAGGCGCACGTGGCCTGGTGGGCGGCCATCCTGGCGGCGCAGGGCTTGTGTTCCGGGAGCTCTAAGGCCCGCGCTCGCCGCGCTATGAGAAACAAAGGTGTTGCCTGGTTTTGGGGTCCTTGGAGTTTCTCAGGGGTGAGGGGGGGCGTCTGTGCGTGGCATGTGGAGTTGTCGTGCGAGTGGCAGGTCGCTTTGATGTTCCTCGTCGGTGCTTTCTCGTCGCCGTTTTCCCTGCTCGCCCCGTCGTCGCCCGCGCTGCTGATTGCTCGGCGTGTCGCCACCTTGCCTTGGGTTCCCATGTGGTTGAGGCCCCGCAAGGATTTATGGGTCAGTTGCGGGTCTCCGGTTTCCCAACAGGGTGCGATGCCTGAGGGCGCGCGGCGGCCGCGTCGGTCCCACGTCGGTCGCCGGCATTGGTTGACGGCGCCCCGAAGCAGGCCGCGACAGGCTAATGGAGGTCCCGAGAGGGCACTAGACGGTCCCAAGAGGCCCCGAAGACGCCCAAGCTGCCCTCAAGACGGCCGACGAGGACTCCAACACGCTCCACGACGGATTCAAGAGGCTCCCCAAGAGAGCCCTGGGAGGCAAGATTCACTAATGTTCCGATGGTTTCTGAAGGATTTATGCGTTCTTGCTCCCCCCGCTTCTCAGCGCTCCCTCTCGGCCTCGCTCGGAGGCCCTTCAGATCGCTCCAAGACGGGCCACGAGGCCCCGAAGAGGGCCCCAAGACGGCCCAGGAGGCTCCCCAGACAACCCAACTGTGCCCCAAGAGCTTCCCAAGAGAGGGCCCAGAGGGGGACCGTCAACCGATATTTCGAGGTCTCTGGCCCTAGAGGCCGCCTGGAGGCCCCCAGAGGCCACCGAGAGGGCCACGGTAGCCAGTTCGCGGGGGCGTTGTTCGTGGCTCTCTGTGTCGCTTCTTCTTCCTCTTATTCTTCGTTTGCGTCATCATGGCACGTTCGCGCGCCCCGCAGCATTTGGGTTCGACGCGCCCGGTCTGTTGCCGAGCGCGCGCGGGGACGAGGCGAGGCAGATCTGGTCTTGGGGATCGAATGCAATCCAGCCCAGGGCGTGCGGGAGAGGTCGGGGTCGTCGTCGCTGTCGTCGTACGTGGCCGCTGCGCGTTTGTTGCGTCGTGTCCGTTAGAGTTTCGCGGTTCGGTCCTTTGCAGGGTCATGGCGCCCAAGAGGAAGCCCGAGCAGGTGCGGCCGGTTGGGCTCGAGAGGCTGGACGCCAGCATGCGGAACGCGTGCGTTGACGTGCAGGTGCTGGGCGTGGCGTGCTCAGCGGTTCGGGATCGCCTTTGGGCGGCGGGATGGGATGGGGTCGGGAATGGGAGGGGGGGGGTGGTAGGGTGGGGCGGTAGCTCCATATGGCGGCGCGCGATCGTTTCCTCCGATCCTGGGCGGGGGCAGGTTAGGTATCCAGCGGAGCGGCCGTCGGCTGGTCGTCAGTGGGCCTCTGGCCTTTGCTGCGCGCGGGCGCTTGCGCGGTCCGGTCACTGAGGCGGTGGAGATTTTTACGTTCATCGACAAGGAAGATGGGGAGACGGAGCGCGTGTACGGGGTCGCTGCCGGATTTGCCCTTGGCAGGGTGGTGTCGATGACGTTCTTCGGCGAGGCGGTGGACGAGATGCGTTCGGCGTGCGTGGACGTGCCCGTGGCGCTGCGGCTGCGTGGGGGCATGGTGGGGATACGTCGGTGCCCTGGCGGCTTGTTCTTTGCTTCGTTCGCTTCGGCCTGTCTCTATCGCCGCGTTGTGGTGGTCGTGATGTGGTGGTCGCGATCTGTGTGTGTCGCTCTGCTTGGATCGGTGTTGCGGTCGGATCATCTTGCTCGTTTCGGGGGGGATCGTTTGGGGAGGGGCGCGGGCAATGTTTCTTTCGTTCATGCGAGTTCCCATTATGAGGGGCACCCGCGTGCGCGCGGGGGACGTTGCCCGCGCGATCGGGGCGGGGTTCGCTGGAGGTCACGAGACGTCCCTGTCGACGATCATGTACGACATGACGTTCGACAGGAAGTTCGGTGTGCAGAAGTTGGCGGCTGGCGCCATCGGGCTTGGGGACGTGCCCGCGTGCGTGGCGACCTCGGGCGGGCGCCCGGGGCACGTGGCGGGCGTGGTGAGCAAGGTCGGTGAGATCAAGCACGTCCACCGCAGCATTGTGACGAAGGACCGGGGCGGTGGGGACCGGAGCGTCGAGGTGATGGAGGTGGAGGTTGCGGTCGAGTCTCCGACGGCGTGCGTCCTTGCTGTGAACGTGTGGGGCAAGGGCGCGCGCGTGCTGCGCGGCGGTGTCTTGGGGCGGGTGCCGCCGTATCCGGTGATGGTGCACGGCTTGTCTTTGCGGCCGGCGGGGGAGGGGAAGCTGAAGGCGACGCTGAGGGGCGGCGGGGCCATTCGGGCCATGGAGGCTCCGGAGATGGTGCGCTGGTACGAGGGGGTGAAGGAGTCCCTGGAGTTGGCGACTCGGGTTTATCGGGCGCCGTCCTTGGCCGATGCCGTGGCCGTGACTGGCGTTGGGCTTCGCAGCTTGCACGAGGCCATCGAGGGCGGCAATGCGGAGGAGGTGCACCACGTGAAGGTGGCGGCGTCGTTGGTGGACGTTTACCGCAAGAGAGCGCCTTTCTACGAAGCGTGTTTGGAGAAGACGGTGGAGGGGCGGACGTGCCACACCAAGACGGCGGCGGGCTTCTGCTGGCGGTGCGACAAGGAGGTGGCGAATACGGAGCCGTTCATGTTCGCGCGTGTGCGGTTGCTCTTTGAAGATGGGGCGATGGCATGGGTGACCGTCTTGGGGGCTTCGGGGGAGCAGCTCCTCGGCGTTTCGGCGCAGCACGTGGCGGAGTTGGAGAGCGTGTCCGTCAGCGGTGGTGATGCGGCGCGGAAGAACCTGGACGGCGTCGTGAGGGGGGCGAGGGAGGTCAAGTGGACGGTTGGGGTGAAGTTGGAGGGGTACGAGACGGATGATGGGGTGGTGGCGAGTGCGACCGTCTTCGAGGTGAAGACGGTGCTCAAGCGTTCGGCGGCGGATGCGCTGGGAGGTGCCGGCGTGAGCACGGGCGCGGCGCGGGGGGCCGATGGCCAGGCGGTGTCTCCGAGCGCGGCGACGGCCTCGGGGGGTCGCGGCGATCTATTCGGGTTCGGCGGCGCCGAGGACGGCGGCGGGTTCGGGTTCGGAGGCGGTCCCCCTGGCGAGGCGGCGGGGTCTGGCGCGGCGGCAGCCTCGGCGGCTGGTGGCGATGGGGCGCCGCAGCAGGAGGATGACGCGGAGGAGTGAGCGGATGGAGCCGCGGGGCCGCAGTTTTGATCCATTCGACCGCCCTGGCGAGACGGCGGGGCCGGGGAGGGCGGCAACCTCGGCGGCTGGTGACGATGAGGTGGCGCAGGGGAAGGATTGGGCCGCGGGGCCGCCGTCGGGCCGCAGTTTTCACTTTCTTGAGGAGGATGAGGTCGGGGGGGCGGTCTGGGCAGAGTGGTTTTTCGGGGCTAACTTAGGTTTGTTCGGGTTCAGATTGTCTTGGAGCCTTCTGGGGATGTTCGGTGGGCTGTGTTGGGTGCTTCTTTGGTTGTCTCTGAGCAGGTTTGGAGGCATCTTGGAATGTCTTGGAGCGTTGGTTAGCCGACAGCGCGAGAACCATGAATAGCTGCAACAGCCAATGGAACAGTTATCGGAGGTGAGGGGGGGAGATCGAAGTGGAACGGAGAGCCCCCCTACCGGGAAATAGATATCGGTTTCGTGTTCGTGCGTGGCGTGCGGGCGAGGCGAAGCTGCGTGGGCGGGCGATAGAAAGTCTCCTGTGGCTGAGGCGCGGCCGGAGCAAAAGAACCTTGACTGGGCGGCCGGTGCCCCGCGCGGTTTTCTGCCGGTGTCCCGCTGGCGTCCCGTGTGGCTGAGGCGCGGCCGGAGGGAAAAAACCTTGACAGGGCAGCCGGTGCCGCGCGGTGTCCCGCCGGTGTCCCGCCGGTGTTCCGTCGGTGTTCCGTTCGTGTCCCGATGATGATGTGGATTCCCGTCGGTGTCCCGATGATGATGATGATGACGGTGATGATGATGGTGATGGTGGGGATTCTGATGGTGATGTTGGTGTTGGTGATGATGATGATGTTGATGATGATGATGATCATGATGCTGATAGGATGTTGAGGATGGTGTCCCGATGATGTTGCTGCTGTTGATGGTGATGTCGATGATGATGATGATGGTGTCCCGATGACGAGGACGATGATGATCATGATGGTTCTGTTGATGATGATGATAACGATGCTGATGTCGCGCCGATGATGATGATGACGATGGTGATGATGATGATTATGTTGATGGTGTCCCGATGATGATGATGACGATGATGATGAGGATGATGATGATGGTGTTCCGATGATGATGGTGATGATGATGATGTTGATGATAATTATGATGTTGAGGATGATGGTGCCCCGATGATGATAATGATAATGATGATGTTGGTGATGATGGTGATGCTGCCCCAGCTTGCCGCCCCGCCGCGCGGACGAGCTGGGCGACGAACCATGCGGGGTCACCTTCACGCGTAAGTTGCACGAGTAGGAGGAAAAGGGTGAGGAGGATGAAGGGGAGGCGAGGAGGACCTGGTCATTTCGGGCCTGGGCTCTTAAAGACGGGTCGGGAGTGCGCAGCGAGGCTCGAGGACCTGAGAACACGTTGATTCTGTGCCCAGAAGCAGGGGGGCGCACTTGATATGCGCATGGAATTGTTTTGCTCCGTTTCAGATTTCTTTCTCCCCCCCTCTCTGTTTCATTCTCTCTTGCCTCCAGGGGCTGGTCATTAGCCCACTCCGCGCCGAGAAGCTCGTTCTTTAGGGCGAGAAGCGCGGGGGCCCAGTTGGTATGCATATGGAATTGTTTGTATTTCTCTTTTTGGTTCTCTCTCTCTCTCTCTCTCTCTCTCACTCTGTCGCTTTTTTTTTTTTTTTTTTTTTTTTTTTTTTTTTTTTTTTTTTTTTTTTTTTTTTTTTTTTTTTTTTTTTTTTTTTTTTTTTTTTTTTATACCCCATTTTTTTATTTCTCCATGTTTCCCTATCTCTCTTTCTCTTTCTTTCTTTCTCTCCCTCTCTCTCCCTCTCTCTCTCTCTCTCTCTCTCGCTCTCCTTTCTGGCGTCCGATGTCCTTATGTTGCTATTTCCCGTTCGTTTTTTTTTTTTTTTTTTTTTTTTTTTTTTTTTTTTTTTTTTTTTTTTTTTTTTTTTTTTTTTTTTTTTTTTTTTTTTTTTCCCTCTCTCTCTCTCTCCACATATATATATATGTATATATTATTTTTTATATATATATATATATATTATTTTTTGTTCTCTCTCCTCCTGTGCCCTGTCATAGTGTTATCTCTAGATGGCAATGAAGAATGGTTCTGCGCATGCATGCGAGTCATATATACATATATATGTATATATACATATAAATATGCATCTGGTAAGGAAGCTCTACGAGTCTCCCGGCGGTAACCAAGGTTGACGGTTTACCGCCGGCGTCCAGTAACTCGTAGAGCTTCCCTTAGCTAGTTAGAGCTGGAAGCTAAGAGTAATTCCGGCGCGCTGGAGAGCTAGTAACTCGTAGAGCTTCCCTTAGCTAGTTATAGCTGGAAGCTAAGAGTAATTCCGGCGCGTCCCAGAGCTAGTTGGGCAAGAAAAATCTCGACGGACCTTTTGGTGACTTTTGGTCGGTTGAAAATTTTGTTCTCGAAATTTGACCATTCGTTAGAGCTCTAGTATTTTTTCTCATGATATTCGATCTTATTCCCGCTCGCCATCTTGATCTCAGCTCGATCGGGTAACTTTGAAGGCCAAAAAGCACACGGGCGGGAACGGCCGTTTCGAGTCATCTTGATAAGCGCTGTCGGTTTTCTCAAGATAACTCGAGCTTGAGGACACCTACAGAGCTGGTCAGCACAGCTAATGCGTTCAGAATGATCAGGCGCGTTCGCCTGTTGAATCCAGAGGTCTGAACTCGGTCTGCTAGCCGAGCTAGGGTCGCAAACCTATTCGTATTATTCGAGTCATTGTAGCAGACGCTCTCGGTTTTTCGTACTTAACTCGATCTATAGGGCAGCCACAGAGCTCATACTAACAGAAATCGATTGAGAATTATCAGGCGCGTTCGTCTGTTGCATCAAGAGCTCTGAAATCGGCCTTCTCCCCGAGCTAGGTTCGCGAACCCATTCGTATTGTTCGAGTCATCTTGAGAAGTGCTCTCGGTTTTCTGTACATAAATCGTGCTGGGGGAGGGCTATAGCTCTGCTGGTCACAGGAATCGATTTCGAGACATCAGGCGCGTCCGTTCGTCGAACCGATCGCTCGAAACTCGGTCTGCTGCTCGAACGAAATCTGCGAAACTGTTGTATTATTCGAGTCATCCTGAGAGGTACTCTCGGTTTTCTGCACTTAACTCATACTGTATGGGCTGCAGAGCTGGTAATCACAGAAATCGATCCGCAGACATGAGACACGTCCGCCTGTCGCATTCAGAGGTCTGAACTCGGTTTCATACTCGAGCTCGATTGGAAAACTGTTTGTTTGTTTTGTTAGAGTCATCTTTGGAGGTTCATAATCGCTTGGGCTGAAAAACTGGTCGTTCTCTGAAATTCGTTCCACATTATATATTGTCAGGAAGCTCTACGAGTCCCCCGGCGGTAAGAAAGGTTGACGGTTTACCGCCGGCGCCCAGTTGGCAAGAAAAATCTCGACGGAACTTTTGGTGACTTTTGCTCGGTTGAAAATTTCGTTCTCGAAATTTGACAATTCGTTAGAGCTCTAGTATTTTTTCCCGTGATATTCGGTCTTATTCCCGCTCGCCATCTTGATCTCAGCTCGATCGGGTAACTTTGAAGGCCAAAAAGCACTCTGGCGGGATCGGCCGTTTCGAGCCATCTTAATATGCGCTGACGGTTTTCTGAAGATAACTCGAGCTCTAGGGCAGCTACAGAGCTGGTAAGCACAGGTAACGCATGCAGAATGATCAGGCGCGTTCGCCTGTTGAACCCAGAGGTCTGAACTCGGTCTGTCAGCCGAGCTAGGTTCGCAAACCTGTTTGTATTATTCGAGTCAACTCGATACGCGTTGTCGGTATTTTCTACTTAACTCGAGCTGTAGGGCAGCTACAGTGCTGGTAAGCACTGCTATCGCATTCAGAATGATCAGACGCATTCGCCTGTCGAATCCATAGGTCTGAACTCGGTCTGCTAGCTGAGCTAGGTCCGCAAACCTATTCGTGTTATTCGAGTGAACTTGATACGCGTTGTCGGTATTTTATACTTAACTCGAGCTGTAGGGCAGCTACAGTGCTGGTAAGCACAGCTACCCCACTCAGAATCATCAGGCGCGTTCGCCTGTTGAATCCAGAGCTCTGAACTCGGTCTGTTGCGCGATCCAGAATCACGAAACTGTTCGTTCTTCCAGTCATCTTGAGAGCTACTGTCGGCGTTTTGCACTCAATTCGGGCTGTAGGGAGGCTGCAGGGCGGGTATTTAGAGGCATCGATTCGGAGACATCAGACGCGTCCATCTGTCGCATTTAGAGGTCTGAACTCGGTCTGATACTCGAGTTGGGCTGAAAAACTATTCGTTCTCTGCAATTTTTTCCGACAGTATATGTTGTCAGGAAGCTCTACGAGTCCCCCGGCGGTAAAATCCATAGGTCTAAACTCGGTCTGCTAGCCGAGCTAGGTCCGCAAACCTATTCGTATTATTCGAGTCCACTTGATGCGCGTTGTCGGTATTTTCTACTTAACTCGAGCTGTAGGGCAGCTACAGTGCTGGTGAGCACACCTATCGCACTCAGAATCATTAGGCGCGTTCGCCTGTTGAATTCAGAGCTCTGAACTGAGTCTGTTGCGCGATCCAGAATCACGAAACTGTTCGCATTCTTCCAGTCATCTTGAGAGCTACTGTCGGCGTTCTGCACTTAATTCGAGCTGCAGGAGGCTGCAGGGCGGGTAATCACAGGAATCGATTCGGAGACATCAGACGCGTCCGTCTGTCGCATTCTGAGGTCTGAACTCGGTCTGATACTCGAGTTGGGCTCAAAAACTATTCGTTCTCTGCAATTTTTTCCGACAGTATATGTTGTCAGGAAGCTCTACGAGTCCCCCGGCGGTAACAAAGGTTGACGGTTTACCGCCGGCGCCCAGTTTTCCCAATACGCGTGGCAGCGGCGTTGCCGAAGCTCCCAGGCAGTCATCGTCACGGCGCTCGCAAGCTCCTACGCAGCGCTTGCGCGGTCCTTGCGCAGCGCCCCAGGCGTCGTCCAAGGC